AAGATAATTCATCATCAAGTAGATTCCAAGAGGAGAAACACAGAAGGGCAGATGCCCTAAGTAAACTGGCGTCAACATGTTTTGATCACTTGTTCTAACATCCTGATCTCCAGATATCAATTTAAAGCTCCAAGAGTCATGTTTTAAAGGTGACTCGACGAGGTGATAGGCCAACTCGTCAAGTAGTGATCAAATCAGCCGCGTGGGTTTTAGACCCCACTCAACGAGTTGGAGGACTTGACTCAACGAGTAGGTGCTAGAAAGTGAAAACCCTAATTTTTAGGGTTTGCACAATATTTAAAGGTCCTTAACTTTCCTCCTCAGCTTCCCTTGTCACCTTCACGTCCAAAGAAACCCTAATAGCTTGCTAGCCTCTGTTCTTGAGTGTTTGAGACCAAAAGAGGGTGTATTAGAGCAGTTCTTGAGGAGTTAAGAGCTTGGAACAAGGAAGATCTTGTAGATCCAGCCTTGCCAGTGTTGTAACAACAAGATTGAGGTATAAAGCTACCACCTTTACATTTCATTGCTTAGATCTCCCTTTTGGTAAAAGAAATGGTCATTTCTAGGGTATGATGGGGTCACACTCGGGTTTGAGCTTGTCACAAGGGAAAATTTTCATTTCTTGACTTCCCAAGGCCTTATGGACATAAAGCCTCTAGCTTTATGAAGCCCTAGCCCTCCTTCATGTCCGAAACCTTCTCTTCATGCTAGTTATGAGTGTTTTAGCTTCATAGAACCTTGCATGCACATAAAGTTAGCAACTTTATGTGATAACAACACCATAGGAGCATAGATCTACTGTTTGGAGCTTTGGAGCAACTTAAAATCATCTGAATGAGTGATGGAATGAATGGGACTCGATGAGTTGCATGGTCAACTTGACGAGTCGGTTAAAGATTGCCCGGAGATGCCGGTCCAGACGTGCTGAGGCTCGGAGAGTGGGCCAAATAGACTGAAGGCCTGGTGTGGGTGGTCCAATCATACAGTAGACTTAGAGAGTGGACCAGGTGGACTGAAGGCCCGGTGCGGGTGGACCAGCCATAATGTAGACTCGAGATACATGTTTTTTGTTATATGATATGTTCATGGTTGTATGAGGTTGGTATTTTGGGGGAACTCACTAAGCCTCGGGATTACAATTTCAGTTTATTGTTTCAGGTACATCAGGTGATAGTGGAAAGGCAAAGGCGTGATTGTGCACTTCCTCATATTTTCATGATTTGATTCTGGGGATACTCTGATGCTAAAACTATTTTGAAAACAAATTGTAATAACTTAATGATTTTAAATGTTTTAAAAAGTTTTAAATTGGCTTGAAGTTTATGGGTGTTAAACTTATCCAAGAAGATTCTCGTGGAGGTACTTAAAGAAAGAAGTATAGATGAGCGGCGGGTGCACACCCTAGCATCAGCCAGGCAAACATGGATGACACCGATAATCGAATAATTGCAGCACGATATTATGCTAAACAACCATGAGGAAGCCAAAAAGGTACGGATCTAGGCACCATCATACACAATCCTTAACGGTTGTACCAGAAGGGATTCATGTCACCATGGCTAAAATGTGTGGATGAAACCAAAGGCAAGGAGTTGCTTCGAGAGACGCACTCCGGCCTAGCAAGCACCCTCGAAGGGGAAAGGGTTCTAATGGGAAAAATACTACTGATGGGTATCTACTGGCCAACTATACACCAGGATGTGTCAGAAGTGACGAGGAAATGTGTAGAATACTAGACATACTCCCTGGTCCAAGGGAACCCCTCAATGCCCCTAACAAGTATTTCTAGCCCGTGACCCTTCTATCAACAGGGAATAGACATTATGGGGCCATTCCTAGACATTCGTTAGGCAGCCTACTAACATGCTGTTGAAAGGTACTAGAATCAAAGGGTCAAGGATAAATCTTTCAAGGTAGAGGATTACATTTTGAGACGAAACGAAGCAAGTCGAGCTTAGTCGTAAGGAAAGCTAGGCCCCACTTGGGAATGGCTATAAAAGGTCATTAAATCTGACCGCAACGGCGTGTACATGCTAGACACAATGGAAGGCAGGCAAGGTCCAAGAACCTGGAATGCCAGGAACCTAAGGAAATTCCATTTCTGACACACTACCCGGTCCGGCCAATCTAAGGACACCCAATGTCGAAGACTCAACACACTTAGATTCTGTTTTTCCTTTCCACAAAATAGCCAATGTATCGCAAGGCTAAGCAACCATTTTACTTAAAAATACTCAGTGTATTTAAATGTTTCTTCTATTAAAATACTCAACGTAGTAAAATTGAATACTTAGTGTATTCACAAGGCTCAGAACAAGCCACAACACTTAAATACTTAGTGTATTTACAAGGCTCATAATAGCCATGGAATTTAAATACTCAATGTATTTAGACGGCCCAGAACAAGCCGCAACACTTAAATACTTAGTGTATTCACAGGGATCAGAATAACCATATAACCTAAATGCTTAGTGTATTCGGAAGAATCAGAACAAGCAATAAGATTTAAAGACTTAGTGTACAAAAGAGTTGATAAACATATAAAACTCAGTGTGTTTATACGGCTCAGAGCTATGATCAAATCAAAATACTTAGCATGTTTTCAAAATCAAACATATGTCATCATAAGCAAGAATATGCACCCAACAAAGGGAAATTAATATCAAAAGCAAGAGCATGCACCTAAAAGAAAATGGCAAAACATAACAAGCGTCATTCACATCACAAAAGACAAAGAGTTATTACAGACAAGGCTTGAAAGGCCACCACTACAAAGAACTGCCAAGACACATGAAAACGAGTAATAAAAGCTTCAAGTTTTTTTTCACACCCCATAAGGGGCAGCACACGGTACGAAGTACCCTAAGGACTAACCGAACTAACACCACAAACATCGGTCCTCACCACCATACGATCATCATTATTAGCACCGCTAACATTGTTGCTCGCCACAATACCAACATCATCACCAATCACACTGCCACCAATGCTCCCGCCGCCACCACCAATTCCATCGATCAGCACACCATCAAGGATCATATCAGCTTCCTCCAGAACACAAAGTTTCTGCATTCCCTCAATGTCTAAATTCCCCTAAATTAGAAGAGATGCATGATCCATACTGGCGAATGCAAGAAGGGAATCATTAAGGCTCTTAGTATGGCTTGATCGGGAATCGCTGGCATTCAGGTCACAGGAACCAGAGTCCACCTCAACTTTCAATCCACTATGCCGAGATTCCTCCATGGCAACAAACACCGCATGCCTGATTTGGCTCACAGTGCTAGTAAACTCCAGATGTTCAATCAACTTGTCCATAATGCGTACGACCCCACACGTAAAAGCCATTCCTAATCATGCTGGGCGGCATCCGCCTCAGCATGAGCATCCACAATTAGCTTATCACGGTTACCAACATCCCGTTCCAATCTCCCGTTCTGAATCATGAGCCCATCATTGGCCAGGGTCAGGGAATCCACCTTCCCCTCGAGGGCGGATCAAACATTTTTCGCAACAACCTTCTCTGAAGCAAGAAGAGTGTACTTTTGCTCAAATCCATGAGCATTATTTTCATGCTCAACAATCCTACACCACAAGTTAGATTCCTGGGCAGCATAACCTGAATAGGCAACCTCCATCTCATTAAGCAGTTGAACTCAGTGGGCACCAGCAACAAGGTAGAACATGGCCTGGGCGGTAGCGTAAGACATATTGTGGGATAAAGTAGGGATATCTATAGCATCCATGTCAGCAACAGCGGCAGGTAGGATTGGATGGTGAGCAAATTCCATGATGTTAGTACGAACAGACAATCAAGAATCATTTTGTAGATTTCATCCAGGAACAAACACATTTGAAACAACATTACCCTAGGGAACTCCCTTGTGTGATGGGGTCTGGTGCAGCTCAGCACCCCATGAGCCTCTAGGGGGAGAAAGATAAGAAGGAGACTGGGAAACTGATTGAACAAGAACTATGGGCTGCTTAATCGCCCCTTGATCCCCCATCGATAGTTACGTGTCATCATCGGGATCACAACAACTGCTTCTGGCATAGAAGATATCAAGTTCAATAGACGAGTGAAATTGTGTCTTGATTGAACCCACCTCCCAATGTTAAAAGCATCAGTAGAGGTTTCTCCCATAGCTAAAAAGTCTTTCCTTTTAGCAATTTCCCGCCGAACGTCTGAGATAATGCCATCCTATTTGTCCTCAACCACTTCCATAGGAACAGAACAGGCGGCGAAAGGAAGAGCAACTGTATAGATAGGCTGGGCAGCGAAAGGTGACCCTCTAGCGGACTCCAAAGATCTATTCACCACCAGTGGTACTAGAGTAGTAGTTAGGGCAAGCTGATTAGCCAGGTGGGGTAGGGGAAGTACCTCAACCAGATCAGTGTCTCGGTGCTCCAAATTCCCACCGGTATCGCTTACACAAAACCTCGTGCATCGACAGTGAGGATTCAACACCTGTCTAAGTAACGACAAGGTAGGAGTGAAAAACTCAAGTAGAAAAGTCTACTACCTACCCTCTCAAAAAAAGTGGGGGAAGGGAAAACGGAAAATAGTAGAACTACTCACCATCAACGACAGTATAGAAAATGGGCATTTTTCCTCGATGCTTCCAGGAAGGACACATACTCACGCCAACAAGCAGTACCCCAAAGTATTCATAGGGAATAACTTGAAAAACTTCTTTGGAGATCAGCGACAACGTGGTTGTGGAGAAATAATTTAGGAGCAACTTCGGCAAAGTTTTTTATCCCGGTACTGCCCATCGCCATTCAGATCACAATTAACCCACAACCATTTATCCTGACAGTTCTAAAGTATGCCCTACTTGTTGGATAGAAAAGGTAAACTTGTTGTTGGTGGCACAAAACCTGAAGTACTTGAGACGAAGTAATCCAGGAAGTAACCTGTAGGCTCGGCAGATCATCTCGAATGCTACCACCTTATTAACAGCATTCAGAGTAAGCATTTGGATACTGCACCCATTCTTCTACATAATCTCTTCCTGGAAGTCCGAAAGAGGAAGACACAGACCGACATCAAGAGTTTTCAAGTAGATACCCACCTTACCCGGTGGAAGATAATAGATCATCGACCCTAGTAACGGAAAATCAACTTCGTCCGCTGAGGAGAGGCTATAAGCATCCCCAAGAAGCTTGAAGTTGGCCTCAGTTGAAATAACACTGGATTGAGAAGCCTTAAAATCAAAGAAGAAAAAGAAAACCCTAGAAGAAGGAGGAAAGGAAAAGAGAAAGAAGTGGCTTTAGCAGGGAATGTCCTTGACCTTATAAAGAATAGAGAAAGGTAGGATATTCAAAATCCCTGATGTAATGATGTAATTGATTGTCATAATAGGCAGTCACATCACCGTAAAAATCGAAGTGACAATTGAATCGGAGCTTGATGCGTGTACCAAATAGATAAGTCTAGGACGTCATAGCTAATCTAACAGTGATACGACTACTGGACAGGGGGAATTGATGACGTTCCCTAGCACGCACGAAGGAGCAACGCCCGGACGCACCAGAGAACGACCCAAAGCATGATGTGCCTGATAGGTTAAGCCCGATGGTACCTCACGCCTATCAGTTCCCTTCAGAGCAGGGTGCCCCCCCAGAGGAAGGCTCGGCCCCACCCGAGGAGCCTTCCACTTCGGGAAAAACATAACGGTCAGGAGGCAAGGCAGATGCTTAGAGCATTACCGTCTGGACCAATCGTTGGCTCTGAAAGATTAAGGAGCACGATCCATCAATCAGTGTCCCCGATCCTATCGGGTCTGACACCCTTGTCCCGTTCGGACTAGCAGAAGGGTTTAGTATAAAAGGCTACTCCATGTGCTTTGGAAGTGAGTGATTCTCTCTTAGCCTTACCCACAATAGTACCCTAAGTCAATCCACTTATTTGACCGTCATAGCATTTTCCCGGAGTCCCTCCTGGAAAATGGTTGATGGACCTTTCTTGCTGTGACCTCGCAGGTTCACTGGAACTACTAAGAACAAATAACGTTATGAAAAAAAGAACTGTGTCACATCCAGCATGATAAGTGTTGTTTTACGAAAATTCCGCCTATGGAATATACGTTTCCCAACTCCAGCCAAAACCCAACACACAAGCCTACAACATATCCTCCAATGTCTAGATAGTCCGCTCACTCTGACCATCCATCTGCAAATGGAAAGCCATGCTAAAATGTAGACGAGTTCCCAACTCCTCATGAAATCTCTTCCAGATCCTAGAAGTAAACCAAACATCCCTACTAGAAAACACCAAAATTGGCACCCTATGTCGTGCCACAACCTCCTGAATTTTGATGACGACCATCTTCTTAGCCGAAATACTCTCCTCGATAAAGATAAAATGTGCGCTCTTGGTCGATCGATCCATGATGACCCATATCGATTCCTCTTCGCACGTCGTCTGATGTAACTTTGTGATAAAATCTGTCATAATTTCTTCCCATTTCCAAAAAGGAACACCCAACAAATTCATTTTCTCTTGAGGTCGCTGATGCTCGACCTTGACTCTCCTGAAAGTCAAGCACCTTTCCACATTCCAAGCCACATCTCGTTTCATGCATGGCCACCAATAGTCAAGTGAGAGGTCTCTATACATTTTTGTCGTTCTAGGATGAATAGAGACCTCGAATTGTGTGCCTCCTCCATCAAAATCTGATGCGCACCACCAATATGGAACCCACACCCTCCGATAAAGGGTCAATAATCCCAAACTATCATAATCAAAGGAATCCACCTAACCCACTATGCACTCACTCTTTCGGTGTTATTCCTTTATATCCTCAACCTGAGCCTCTCGAATTTGCTCTAAAAGTGGGCTAATCACGGTCATCCTCAAACATGCATCTTTGATTGGGGTAGTAACCGCCTTGCGGATAAGAGTATCGTCCACCATGTTGGCCTTCCCCGGGTGATAAAGGATCTCACAATCATTATCTTTCAGCACATCCAACCAACTGTGCTGCCTCATGTTCAGATTCGGCTGATCCATCAGATACCTCAGACTCTTATGATCCATATAGATAGTACAACGGAACCCATTGAGGTAATGTCACCAAATCATGAGGTCGAAAACCATAGCCCACAAATCCAGATCATGCGTATGATAATTCACCTCATGAGACTTCAGCTGCCTCGAAGCAAAAACGATCAGATGACCGTGTTGCATCAACATTGCACCCAAACCCTTGATTTATGCATCACAGTATACAACAAAATCCTCAACACCTTCAGAAAGGGTTAGAATTAGTGCCTCACACAATCTCTGCCTTAGATTCTCAAAAGTTACTTGCTACTCAGGCCACCAATGAAAAGTGACGGTCTTCTTTGTCCATATGGTAGAAGGTACTGCTATCTTAGAGAAATCATGAATGAATATTCGGTAGTAACCCACCAATCCAAGGTAACTCCGAAACTCAGATGGAGACCTCGAAACCTCCCACCTCATCACCGCCTCAACCTTGAACGGATCGACCAGAATACTATTCTGGTTGACAATGTGTCCCAAAAATTGTACCTCGCACAACCAAAACTCACACTTGGAGAACTTTGCATACAGCCTCACCCTCCCTAAAGACTTTAATACCTCTCAGATGTTCATCGTGTTGCTTCGAAGTCTTGGAATATTCGGTAGTGATCTTCGCGTTGGCGAAGGCCCGACCTTGGCTTGAGATCAGGTCTAACCGGGTTCTGACTAGGTCAAGCTTGGCGTTAGTTTGACTTATCCCTTTTTGACATTCTCCCTAAGAGATATGTAAACACCTGCATATGCGATTCATGAGATCCATGAATGTGGTTGGAGTATTGATCAGCCCGAAAGGCATTACCACAAACTCGTAATGACTAGAACGAGTCCGTAAGGCCAACTTCTGCATATCCTCCTCTCTAACCTTCATCTGGCGATATCCTGAACATAGATCAATCTTGGAAAACCATCATGCACCCTGAAGCTTGACAAATAAATTGTCCATCCTCGGGAGTGGATAACGGTTCTTCACCGTTAGCTTATTCATCTCCCGATGGTTGATACACATCCGATGTGACTCATCCTTTTTCTTCACAAACAAGATAAGCGCTCTCCATGGTGAACTACTCTGCAAAATGAATCCTTATCTAATAGCTCCCGCAGCTGCATAAACAACTCCTGCATCGTTGGGGTGCTAATCAATAAGGTGTTTTGGCTATCAGAGCCGACAGTGGAGCCAAGTCAATCAGAAACTCCATCTGGCTCTCCGAAGGCAGTCCATGCAAATCCTACGGAAAGATGTTTGGGTATTTCCAAACAGTTAGTACACCATACATAGCTGCCTTACCCTAATTTCCAAGGGTTTGCACCATAAGTTGGCGACTCGACGAGTCTGCGCTGTCTGATGAAACCCTAATTTCCAAGGGTTTGCATCCTATTTAAACGACCATTTGCGCCCCAACTCCGCCCCATTCACCCTCAGAAGCTCTCCATATGTTCTAGCTCTTGTTCTTGTGAGTTTGAGGCTTTTTAGTGTGTTTTCTTGAAGAATTTGAGAAGGAAGTGGTGTAGATCAAGAGGAAGGGAAGAAAGCCAAGCATCTTCGTGTTCTCTCAGTAGTCTCTTGGAGGTATAACTCGTTTTCCCTCTGTTTCTATGCTTATTACTCCATTAAAGACCCCCTTGAACCATGTCCCAAGCTTGGTTGTGCATTGTTAGTGGATTGAAGTTGCTAGCCTTTAGATCTAGACCCTATTCAGTCCATGGAGCTTGGATCTACTGCCTTTATGGAGTCACATTGCACACAAGCCCTAGATCTACCCCTTTTGTTGCACTTTAAGCCTTAGAACCTTTATTGGTGGTGATCTACACGTAAAGTTGGAAACTTTTTGTGTAAACCAGGCCCTAGGAGCCCAGATATGTGGATAGCATAAGCTGGATTCAAGCAAAATCGACCATTTAAAGATTGCATGGTAGCGACTCGGCGAGTCGTTCATCTGACTCGGCGAGTCTGCTCGCGAGTCTCCGAGGTTGTCCCCTTTTAGTTTTGTCGAGTAGAGTAGTGAGTCACGGGGTGTGACTCAGTGAGTTGGAAGCCGAACTCATCCATGAAGGAACTCGGCGAGTCATTGCCCTAACTCAGTGAGTTCAAGGCAATCTCCTCAGATCAAGATCAGACTCAGCGAGTTGTTCTTACAACTCGGCGAGTCACAGCATAAGTGTTCATCGGATGAAGATGAACTCGACGAGTTGTTCATACAACTCGGTGAGTAGGATGAAGGACTTGAACATCAGTTTGGAAGGAGAAATCGTCGAGTCAATGCCTAACTCGACGAGTAGAAACGGAATCTAGGTCAGTCGATTGGACAGGGACTCAGCGAGTTGGCGAGCCAACTCGGCGAGTCGGGTCAACTGAAAGTTGACTCTGACTTTGACTTAGGGCATGATCAGGGGTAAAATGGTCATTTTACCCAAAGGACAGTTAGCAGTGTTTGATTGAGTATGTTGTGGGAATTACAGCCGGAGGATTTCTGGAGCAGGAGCAACAACAGTAGACAGTCAGTTCCCGATCAGATCAACAGCTACTCCGAGGTGAGTTACCTTCCAGTAGCAGTGGGTCTACGGCCACAATGCCGGCCCACCAATAGGAGTCGTATGTTTAGATGATTGTCTTTGTGATATCATCTAGGTTGCTACTACCTGATATGTTATATGCTAGCATGATATGTTATATAAATAGAGATCGATTGTCAGGACCGAAGGGTAGTGCAGACACCCCAGAAATGTCTGAGAGTACGTGATGATATGTTTGTATACTGGCTGGTTATGTTATATGTGTAAGTAGCCCAGATACCCCAGATATGTCTGATAATATGTTATGTATGATATATGTGTAAGTAGCAGTAGAGGGTGAAATAGTCCCTAAGGGTCGGTTGTTAGGACCGATGGGTAGTCAACGCCCCAGAATAGCTTGACACGGGTAGTCAGCACCCCAGAATGGCTTGATACGGGTAGGACGGCACCCCAGAATGGCCGTACGGGTAGTTGGCACCCCAGAATGGCCGTACCGGGTAGTCAGGCACCCCAGAATAGCCTGGCAGTATGTATGTTATGTGTTTGTATGGTATGTGGTACGATGGGGGAACTCACTAAGCTTTGTGCTTACAGTTTACAGTTTTGGTTTCAGGTAACTCTTCATCAAAGGGGAAGGAGCTGGCGCGGTAGCGGCACATCATGCACACACACTGGTTTCCGCATTTATTAGATTTCTATGGGATTTATACTCTGATATTTCGATTGGTTGTATGATTTGGCTTTTAGACATGGTTTACGTTTTGATGTGGTTTGATCAAACAATGTTTTTAATTATTAACGTTTTCTAAACTAATGTTTTAAAAACAAAATTTTTGGACGTGAAAATTGGGTCGTTACAAGTTGGTATCAGAGCCCTGGTTTGAGGGATTCGGACACACCTTCGGGGGGTGTCTGAACTCAAATCGAGGGATTAAAAGATTTTCTAAAAGAAAATGTTTTCAAAAATTGAGAAAAGAGTTTTAAGGAAGAACGAAGTGTGTGATGTGCGCGACCGGTTGAGCTCAAGTAAGTATTCCCCCAAAGTACCCATATAAGTTTATGTTATGTTTATCAACTTTTGTAGAACAGCATGCTAGACTAGGACTAAGGATC